CGTGACATGTTCGTACGAACCCTTTGTACGAACAAAAGTAAGAGAAATTTAGGATAAGAATACGAACATGTTCTTGCATGAGGCCCAATGTGTCTGTTTTAGAGCAGGTCTAAACCAAATCCAATAACCCAAACCTCAAAAATGTCTTAGTACTTTAAGTCTGTGTTCTGTCGCTAATATTTACACCACATCACTTTTCCATCAGATGGTTATTTTTATRCCCATGTTTAATGGTGTTGGAACACTGCTGCAGAAACATGATGCAAAAGTAGTGTGATGTAAAATTCCATAACTTAATTATGGAACTATTAGAGGTTAAAGTTGTTATAGAAGCTGCAATCTGCTCAAGAATAGGCTTCAATTTGAATTATTTTAACTCCTTCATGAAAATTTCTACTTGATTCTCCAAAACTGTCATCACTCTGACTGGCATCTGCTGCAGGCAAGATACTGACTGCTCATAACAGATTTATAAAATGTGTGGACCCTTGTTTTCTAATGTGCTGTATATGTAAACAGTGTGCATTAGTGGCAGTGTACATTTATAATATTGTTTAATAAAACATGGAAAGTTGTGAACTTTCTGGAAATGCCAAACATCCTTTGACTGAGAGTTGTGGTGATTGTTATGAGAGAGAAAGACATTTTAAACATCTGACAACACTTCTAAGTTCTTATGAAATCAGCACTACAATAAGACATGTATAAACAACATTTAAATGTTTAGAATCACATGGTTTTATAAACTGTACTTCAGGGTTGTGGTTCGCACCATCCTGCAAGTTTTCAATGTGTTTCTGCTCCAACAGCATCGGGTTCTACAGAAGCCTGTTTGATTATTTACAGTAAATCAGGTGTGCAGCAGAGTTTGACATCCCTGCTGCAGGTTGTACTGTAAGCTTACATGAACTGCATAGAATGAGTTCCATAAGTTTAAAAAAAGTTACAAAATGAGGAAAAAATGAAAAAATAAATAAATAAAATGACAGGGCCAAATTGTTGTCTTAGTAATAATATATGTAACAACAATACAATATGCGTGTGTATATACTTAGCATATAAAGTAACTAAATTAGTGTTAGATTATTTATTTGTTGTAACAATTTTGGCAATAAATGCATGTTCCTTACAAATGTGGCACCATTTAAAAGGGACATTAACAGACTTTCCAATGATATCAAGAAACATTGTTACAACAAAGAAATAATCTACCAAAACACACATTTACTTACTTTTTATGTTAAATATGTACGTAAATATATGCTTTTGTTTTGACCTTTAACTACATTAACAGATTTCTGCAAAACTTAAGCCAGATTAAAATGTCACTTCATTACGTAAAAGAATGAAAAATTGTACATGTTCATCAAATTTAGGGCAAATCACAAACTTTAATTTCTTTCATAAACTCCATTCCTGTACCTTTGATCTTAGCAATGCATAATTATTTTTTACTTAAAGTTAAAAACTCTTGGTTTCAGCTAATTAAAACTTTAAGTGATTGTTTTGTTAGTTGTCCACGTTTTACAACATTACTTTTTATTTTCATTTACTAATGCATGCTTAACATGTCACAATAGAAGAACCTGCAGGTTTTGTTTTACATCTAAAGCAACAAACATTATTGGGCCGATAATTAGTTAGACATAAAATAAAAATAATTACCTAAAATGACGTAACCATATGAATGATTTTGAATTTCTTAATGTGAAACAGGAGAAGTTTTGAAATCATTCATTMGGAATCACTTATTAATACTGGGGGGTGATTTTTTAAAAGAAATTTTTTAATATCCCACCTTAATTTTTTCATGCATTTTTTACAGCGGAAGCAAGTTTTGTGGAAAATGTATTTGTCTGCTGCAATTTTCTCCATCTGATAAACTGGCTTCTGACAGGCTGAGCACGTCTCTCGACTGGCTGGTTGAAACTGAGGAAAACAAGACTGAGCTCAGCTCAAACAAAAAAACAAACAAACAAAAAAGTATTTTCTGGGAAAATAATTCATTACAAATACATTTTGTGGGGATGGAAATAGTGTAACAAACTTTTAAAAGCAAATCAAGCACAACTTTAGAGAAGTCTATGAGAGAAAGGACAACCAGCTAACTCAATGTCATAAAAACCTTCATAATGTAAACAAACATCAAACCCTTGTCTCTTTATGAACCTAAGGATGTGTGGAGACTCGACACGTGGGTGGACTGGTAGTTGTCGGACTTGTTGCAGTTTCTGGTTGAGTATTAAGGACTGTGGAGGTTCTGGATGTGTAAACMTTGTTACCAAACTCATCAGTCCTCTCGTCGTTATCTGGGACAGTTTCTGATCCCATGATGGCTTCACTATCAGTTTGCAACATCAGCACACTGAGCTCTCGACTTTGCGGGCTGTGTGATTGCCCGTCGTAGTTCCCGGGCTCTGTTTTTTCACTCTGAGCGTGGCTGTTGCACGTCAGGGTCTTTGTTGTTCGAAATCTTTCCTCCAGCTTTGGACTGGGCTCATAGCTCAGGCAGGCTGAAGCGTCCAGAGGCAGCTCTGTTTTGCTAGCTGCTGACTGAACAGAGACGAGTGCAGGACTCTGTTTCGCAGAGGATGTTTCAGTGTTTGCACGTTGACTCGTTTGCATATTTGTGTTTCCTTGGGTGAAGCTTTGCTGTAATTTCATTTTGCTCGAGCTTGTGCTAATTTTGTCAGCGTTGCCAGAAGACCAAGGTCCTTGCACATTCCCTAAAGACTCTTTGAAAAGATGCGACAAACCTGCGATGTCTGAGTCTGATTTCAGCGTRGACACAGAACAAAGTGCCTTCATAATGGCATCCTCTATATCCTTAAGTCTGGCTAAAGTTTGCTCTTTTAGATTCACTATTTCCTCACTAGCTCGTGCAAGATCTCCATAAACGTGTTCCATCGAGGGCTTGCTTTCTGTTCTATCCACTGGTGATTGCACTGGCCTTTCATTATTTTCTGATCTGGCCCTTCTTGGTTTYTTTCTGTCAGAGCTCACAACCCAGTCAGGGACACTCTCAAACACTCTCCTTAGAGACTTTACATCAACATTGCTTGTATCCTGTTCAATTTCCTCAACTCGACTGAGAATCTTCTGCAGTTCCTCTTGCTTTCGCAGATTGTCGAAAATTTCCATGGCTGCCGTTTCGTTCCCTCTCACGATTCCATCCATGTGCACAGACAGCCGCTGTTGGCGTTCATCCTCCGTTTCGGCTCGCCCTTTCTTTTCCCTCATCTCCACTCTGCTGTTGGGCATCTCAGCACCTACTCCACAGGTGTTACATGACAGATTAGTCATCATTTGKACTGGTTTTGGATCCATTTGTGACAGAACGGGTGGAGCTCCGGAGTTYCCTCCTGGTAGGTCTCTTTGTTGCTCTTTGTTGTCAAAGTGGGCAACTTTTTGTCTCTTTGGCTTCACCGGGGCGGTCTTAACTGAAGCCGGTTTTTCACCTTCAAATTTTCGACATGCTTCCTGAAAATCTATATGGTTTTCATCAGTTTCAGYCACGTCTTTTCCTGAGGTGTTCTGTGGGATGTTTTCCTTACCCGTGGCACTTGTTTTGAGTTGTTTGTTCCCAATGTTTTTATCTGTTTCAGAATTTTCGATGGCCATGGCTGAACCTTGAAATTGATCCTTCACTTCAATTTTTTGCAACACATGTGTATTGTTACCATTGCTTTGGTCGATTAACTCATTGGTCGATGTAAACAGATGTTGCTTCTTTTCAGTTGTGGATGATTCTTGTGGATCTGTAGTACCACTTTGGGTTGTCTCTGGATTCTTTRTCCCATCACATCCTTGTTTTCCCTTCAAATGTTCAGGTTTAGGTAGAAGAGGAGGCTTTGGACCAGTGGGTCGTATGGTTTTCTGTGAGACAACACCAGAAGTGGGTTTCTGCATTGTTCCAGTCACTTCTTGCTTTGGTGGTACTTTGGTTGATTCCAGTTCTGCCACTGGGAAAAGCTCTTTAGCATTTGGAGTTTCATAACTTTGTGACGTTCTTTGATGAGCTTTGGAGGAGTTTCGGTAAATCATAGCTGCCTTAAAATCTCCTCTTGTCACATTTATGTTGGACTTTTCCAAGGAATCCAAAGCTGCTTGAATTTTACCCTGTAAATCAACTTCCTCTTCTTCTGGCGCTGGTGACTTTTCAGAACTGTTCCCACAGSCGACATCAGTTTGAATGTGTTGGTTTTGAACTATTTCAGCGAGATCTCGACTCTCGCTGCGAGTCTCAGCGGTCTTTTCTTTTTCTGGAGTGATGTCTTCAGAACACCTTCCTGCATTTTGGTGTTTCCAGACAAATTCATGTCCTGAGGTAACATCTGAAACCAATGGATTTTTAGTCAAACTAATTTCAATGCATGTTTTTTCTTGYGGGTCCACATTTTGAGATAATCTGTTTACTGCTTTAGTATCAGTGAGTTTTTCTGTTGATTCTTCGGGAAAAATTTTTTGTGTGTCTTGCAGTGAGTGATAAAACATTTTGGCCTCTTTGGTGGCTTTTTGGAGGTTTTGGATTGCAGTTTGGAGGTCAGAAATGTCATCAGTGYCATGTAATACTTCTGCCAGTTCAGCTTGGTGAACCTTGTCATCATTATGTGGTACGTTTTCTTTGGCCTTTTGACCTCCACTCTTCCTGAGGGTATTGTTAGGTTGTTGGTGGTAGAATGGCTCAGTGTTGCATTCTGTAGAGGACTGGCCTTTTCTGAATGATGTATTAGAAATACTGGTAGAATTGGGACTTTTATCTTCAGAGAACAGGCTTTTAAGTCTCTTTACATTCATTGGAACATACTCAGAGTTATCTTCTTCAGTCAGAGCTTCGTCATTCTGTCCCACGACTGCTTGGTTTTGAGAAACTTCATTCTTTTGAGCTTCTGGTTCATCGTCCTGGAGAGTTTTTAAATACTCCAAGTCACCCTTTTCAATACAGCTTGTGAAGAGTTTCACATTTACCCTCACACTCGGCTTGATTGACTCTGAGGTTTGGTCTTCTGTGGTTTCTTGAGGGCTCCTTATAGTTGATGCTGTGTAACACGTCCCTGTTTCATCATCTGTATTAGTCATAAACTCTGATTCCTTAAAATGTGCTGGGCTGTAACTCTTCACTTCTTCACTGTCAAGGTACTTGTAGAGGGAATAAACACTGACTTCGGCACAGTTGTTGACATTTTGTTGAATGATCACTCCTTTCCTCAGAGAGTTGTCTTGATTGAGGATATCTTCAACAAGCTGAACCACATTGGCAGTTTTTAATTCAGCGTTTTTCATCGGATTCACCTGTCGATGGTGAACCAGAACGTCCACAACGGTAGCCTCCATGGACCCTTTACTGTCCTCCTTTAGGTAAGTGATCTGAGGTTTTAAGTTTACTCGCGGAAGCAACTGGAGGATGAGGTTTTGTGCGCCACCTTCAGCCACTTCGTCATATTTTATCTCGGGTCCGCTCTCTGATATTGTGAATTTAGCCTTTTTAGCAATCATTGTGTCGTTCACTTCAATAATGGCCCCATCTGACTGAATGGATTTCACTTGATAGAGGAAACTCAACGTTTCTTTAATGCTTTCCATCATCGTCTCAACTTCATCCCTGTTCTGATGCCTGATTTTGTCAAACGGCATTGACTCAAACAGGTGGGTTCTGTTCTTTACGTTGGCAGGCAGATAGTCCTCCCCTGCTGCACCTGCTTCATTTGGAGGTTTTGATGTGTGCCCAGAGGAATTCTCTCCCTCGATGTTTGTTGAAATGAAAGGGTTATTTTGGAAAAGAGACGCACTTGTTTTTATTATTTCACTGTGACTTTCTGAATCTGAGCTTGTGAAGTCATCATCAAAGGGGGGTTCATCACCATGAAAATCTTCTTTGCCAGAAACGTCAGTTCTTTCACCGCATGGCTCCTGTTCTTTCAAATCTGGGTTTGCATTTTTGTGTTGTTGGACTGTTTTTCTCTCATTAGAAACTGTCTCCTGAATCGTATCTGAATTTGGCTTGCACTGACTCTCAAATATATTTCTAGTGGCTTTAACGTCCACTCTTATCATCTCTTCTTCAGGCTGTTTGTTAAAATCTGTCCTTAAATCCAGAGAATCATCATCCTCTATGATATCAGGAACAAGAGCTTCTGCCTTAGACTGGTCAGAAACAGTCAATGTTTTACTACAATCACATCTTCCCACTGCTCCCTCTGCCATATGGCTCTTCGAGGTGTAAGGTGACATATTGCTACTAGAGCCACGGCTCTCAAATATCAAGCGTCTTGAAAAAACCTCTCCCTCGTATCCGGTCGTATCATCAGCTGCCGCCCTTTCCGAGTTCAAAACCTCAGCAAACTCCTCATCCATAACATCCTCCAGCGTCTTCAGCTCTGGGTGAGTGTGCTTCAGGAGCCTTCTCAGCTCAGTTTTCTGTCTTTGTTGGTACAACATTTGTTTGGAAACTTGAGATTGTTGCGACTGTTCTCCAACAGTATCTTCCAGTCCCATTTCACATCTCTCTGGTTGAAGTGGAGGAGGGTCGTCCGTCTTCTTCTGGGAATCTTCCATCTTAGAAGAACAAAGTACTGTTCTTACTATTTCAACTTTTTCCAACAGGAATTGAGCAGCCAGTGAGAAACCATGCTCCAGAGYTGGCAGACACACGAGTGAGTCATGTTACCACACAGATCCTGTTTGTCCAGGCCAGGCGTRAATAGGTTAGGTAACTCCAGAAGTYGCGAGCTAATGCAACCACAAACACAGCCGCAAATTTGGTTAAATGTAGAGTAAATGAATGAAAAGCATTTCAGAAAAAACAGAGTTGTCAGAACAAAGCAGCCACATAGTTAATGACACAGTGAAACACAACTCTGGGGTAGAGGTCATTATAGCAACCAAAATCAAATGTGCACAGGTCAGTTTCACCAACCACACCATCATGCAAACCATCTGATGATACTCTGCTTTACCTTGGTGAGTTTAGCTTGTTTCTCAACTTCACGTGGCTGTTCTTGCTCCTGAATCTGGGAAAACAAACAAAAATAAACAAACATAATTAGGTTGATGTTACATAAACAAGTCATAAAGTCACATAAACTGGTCAGGCTTCAAGACTTTCATAGGGAATAATTTATGAATTACAGTATAATTATTGTTATACTGCATATTAACATTTAATGGGTTAGTAGCAGCAATAATATGCTGCATTACRTTTTGAGTTTTGACTTGGAGTTTTACAATTTTTACATTTATATTGCAATATTGTGGCTTTCTCATGTTGGCTATGTGAACCGTTTGAGATTATATTTATGGAGTTTAAAGTGGTTACATATAAAACCATTTGATGTTTTATTGTTACTTTATTTTAAAACATATTGGAACTGTTTTCCAAGAAATGTACTGACATGTCATGTCTGAAATCACAACAATTTGAATCTTAATACAGAAATTTTATGTGCATTCTAAAGGCTTTTTTTAAGTTTCTCTTTGGACTTCGGCTGCTCTTTCATACATTTTTAAGCCAAAGCCCGACCATTTTCAGAGGATCTTTGTTATTGTTGTTTGTTTGTTAAGGCACTTCATGAGCCACTTAAAACATGGAAAGTAGAGAATTTAGTAACTTTATTTGTATAGCACCTTTCGCAGTCAAGTAGCCACAAAGTGCTTCACAATAAAACTTCACAATAAACCACAACAGAGCATATAAAAATRCATTTATAAATGATAAAAACATAAATAAGACAACATAAAAAACTCATACAAACCTGTTGAAAGCCTGTTTAAAAAGGTAAGTTTTAAGCTGCTTTTTAAAAATTCCAAAATTTAGGAGCTTCAGCCTGAAATGCTCCGTCCTCTGTCTTATTCTACATTCACACTGCAGGTCTTAATGCTCAGTTCTGATTTTTTGAAAAAATCCGATCTTTTTGTGTGAACGTTCACATTACAYTKTAAATGTGACCTGCATCAGACCCCTGTGTGAACGCTACACAGCACTGATGTGACACRCATGCGCAGTAAAAGACGTGACGTCTCATTAGCCGGCTTGTTTGTTTACAGAGCTAGCATGGATGCTACATTTTGCGCATCGAATCGGAAGTTGTTGTTTAATTAGAGATGATTAAATAATTATCTGACCTGCTTCTTTACTTCAGTGTTTATATCTGAAGCTGCCTCTGACCGGGATGCTCCAGTGAAGCTTTTTTTTAAAACGAAACTATGAGCTGGAAAAAAGTATCGAATGAGTAGCTAACTTTAGGATCGATACTCTCCGCGACCCAGGCTGGACATCGTTATTATCATACTATCTACGTGGAAAATGAAAAGTAAAAAGATGAAGTAACTGGACTTGTGTTTTGGAGCTGTAAACACACGGAGCTACAGATTTAAACAGCGAGACTTCAGGTTAGTGTCTTTTCGATCCTTCAGCCCCTCCTCACTGATGAAAAAGTCAGATGAATGTGACATGAGCGTTCACACTGCAGTCACTTTGAAAACATCAGATATACTGTACATCCGATTTAAAACCACATATTGAAACGGCCTGGGTCGGATTTGAAAAACTCGGATTTGTCTCGTTCAGACTGTCATAAAAAAAAATCGGATATGAGTCAGATGGGTCAAAAAAATCGGATATGAGTCAGATGGGTCAAAAAAATCGGATTTGGGTCGGATTTGCCTGCAGTGTGAACGTAGCCTTATTGACATAAAATCTAAAAATAGGAGGAAAGATTCAAGACTTCTGGACAGCACTGTATCCACTTCACTGTCCAAGTTTAATTAGCTGGTTTACTGTGAGTAAATGTTTAAATATGTTCTAATAATTTTTTGGGTTTTTAAAAAATGAGAAGTAAAATTATCTATATTAACTTTATATAACCAAAATTTTTGTTTAGTGATTTTATTGTCTTTTGAAATAATCATAAAATGAACGTTTACCATCTTTGAAATGCCCCWTGTGGAGTCCTGAGTTGTCACTTTGGACATATAGAGCGCAGACATGGCTTTGACCGACACAGACAGGATCTCCTTGGTTTGGTTGAAAGAGCTGTCTCTAAAGTCTGAGATTGTCCTCCGTCTTTCATCTGCAGAAACATCAGACACACAAACCCCAACGTGTAACACACTCACTGCACTTTGTTACAGCAGAAGAAGAAACTAAAGGTTGAATGACGTAGTAACCCACTGCTGAGTGAATTGTGTTGAAACCAACGCTCGGTGTTTATAAGTAATTAGTGACAGCACTTCCTGAGCTGATATTAAACAGCTGTCATGGGGCTGAGTTATAAATGTCGACTTGTGGTGAAGCAGGAAAGACACCTGACTCCGCTGACACACATACTGAGAGTTAGCCAACAGGCGAGTCACTGAAAACTGCAGCTGACTGAGTGTAGAGCGGCGCAAAGTAAACATGCGTCTAAAACGTTTGTAAAAGTGCAGTCATGGTTGTAAATCAGTGTTARGAAAATAAAATAAAAAGATTTTTACACTATAAAATGTGTTTTTGCCTGTTTGTTGATTTAACTTATTTYAATGACAGTTTGAAAACTGAATGAAAAACATCAGTAATGCAATTATTAGTTAACACAACTTGGCTGCAAAACTGAAATTTCACATCCAAGAGAATTTAAAAATATGAGTTCATTCAGCTTTAGAGATGAGTCAAACAGCTGGGAGGGTTAAAATGTTTGAGTCACCATCTTTTTTTAATCCTGCTAAGACCACGTTTGATTTGATATCATTTTCACCAGCTAAATATTTATTTAATCAGCCATAATTAATAATTTCTTGAGTGACTGGAAGATGAGATAATTATTGTACCATTAAGCAATTTGAATAGGCCACAATATTTACAATGTTAGAGATAATCGTTTAAATCTGTCATTTAATGAACTTACTGTAATTTAAAGAAACAGACCRTTTTAATTATATGCTAAAATGGAGTCACAGACTAAAAACATCAGTCTAAGAAGCTCAAAAGATTAATTAATCCAAATCTATTTAATTTAAACAAAAGGGTAATTAATTGTATTATAACATTTATATAGCATTATTAAGYTAAACTAGGGGGAAAAGGTAAGAAAATAATATTCTGAGACGTTGACCAAATGAAATCATGCAGAAAATAAAATACATGATTAAAAATAAGAAAATAAGAACAAAACATGCTGTTTTATCTCATTTTAAAGCCTTTTTAGTTGTGTTAAATGTTGGAATGATATGTTAGTTTTTACCGTTAATTGCGTGATGTGCACAAAGCCTAATATTTGTCTGTTTTACGGCTATGTGTGAACAATTTTCAGTCAAAATCCAAATCTCTACTCACAGAAGACTTCCTGATTCCTCAAAGCCTCAGTTTCTGGAAAATCTGGGTAAAATTAGTAAATTTTCCTTTTGGTGCGTTTCCTTTAAAAAAAAAAAGCTTCTTCCTCTCTCCTGAGTGTTTTCTCTCTGTCTCCTCTGCCTCGGACACAGCTGACCCTTTTAACCCCCCCTGGTGCTTTTTTCAGGACTTATAGTGTGACAGCTATTTCTGTCCTGCTCTGAAGTGACCCACTGGGCCACACCAGGCTGAGTCAATCACAGCTAAGTCACAATGTTGGTTCTTAGATTTACTACAAATAACATCTACAGCTTTAAACTGAATGGGASTGTTCATTTATTTATTTAAAGGAGACATATGATTACTTTGAATCCTTCTTTTTCACATTTAAATCCTTGGGGTCTATATAAAGTCGAACTGCAACGATTTGATCTGAATTCCTCCTTATTGTAACTCAACAAGCCCCGCCCCTTTTCTGAGGTGTGTCTCAGATCAACTCGTTTTGAGGCTGTCTCTTCTATCCAAACAAGGTGCTTCACATCCCGCCCCACCTCCAGCTTTCAAAGCAGTTCATTCTAGTTTGATAGGTCTGTTCCCTTTAAATCTAAACTGGTTCACAGGAAATGTTTTTAGAGTTTGGCTTTAGGGAACGAGGCCAGAACCAGTTTCCTTATTACCTGGATCAGGGGCTTGGTGCATTGTTGTATTTATTGTCCTTATCAACTGGAGTTCGACCTGAATGTGTCTCTTTTTGCATCCATTTGTAYATGTTTACCTTTTATAAGTTGTTGCTGAGATTTTTTTTGTTTATTTTCATTCCTTCATCAAAATCTGACGTCTGAACCAGAATCCTGCTGATCTATTCAAACATTTGTGCATTTTACAGATTTATTACATCAGAGTTGGTCATTCATTTACAGACACAACTTACTTTTGATGAACATTGCTGATCTGGGAAGTTAGATATTTTTTTAGTTTGCAACTTGTCACGGTCTGTGTTTTTTGCTTTAATTTTCTAGTGTTTCTCTGTTCCCCTGTGTATCTCTTCCCTGCTGTCTTGTCTCCAGCCCCGCCTACACTGACCTGTTTCCCCTTGTGTCTCYCCAGGTGTTTCCCATTGTCTCTTAATTTGTTTGCTTTCTATTCTGAGTCTTGTCATCAGTGTTTTGTCGGTTCATTGTGCTGTTATCCCCAGCCTGTGTGGTTGTCCTCGAGTTCTTGTGAGATTTCTGTAAGTTTTAGAGCTGCCCTGCCAGCCTTCTTTTGTTAAATAAATAACCTTTTTTGCCTTTTTTGGACTTTTGCCTGCGCCCTGGGTTTTTCCACCTGCTATCCTCACACAACTCACCAGCTTCAGATGCGGCTATTTTCTCAAAATCAATACCAGCTATTGTTTTCCTCTTCTCCAGTTGGGTCTGATTCACCACCTGGAGAGAAAAATAACAAATCATCAGTGAGCAATATGAAAATCTGAAATTAGCCTTTGACATTTTTTTATTTAAATTGATAATTCCTCTGATAAATTCAGTGGGAGGTTTCTCAAAATGCATAAATATTCCTTCATATTTACTGATATACTCTGGTGCCATGAAAACTCCCCAGGAGGTTTGTGTAACTGTAAATATCGCCTACAGGTCGTGTACACACACACATAT